ATCAAAATCCCAATCAGACATACTAAGGACAAACCAAAATATCAAAAACACACTATTTTCAAACAACAAGGAAATCAAATTTTAATCGAAGATAGAAAACACATGCTGAGACGAATCAAGCCTCAACGTAAAAATCCTTTACAGAGCTCTACCAGTCCAATGCCTACCAATTCGAGCGCTACTGATGAACCCTCTGCTCAAAACACCTCCGGTAATCAAACTGCCGCTAGGAAATTCAAGATTAATCGAAAATCGTCATAAAACTCAATTCCTTATTAATTTAAATTATATAACCAATCCAAAACTACATGAAAATCAACACGCACTGAATCTACAGAATTAAAAAGTTATTTTCTTCTGTAAAGGTTTGCAAGGCACTTTTGAGCACAATACTATCAATATCCAAGAAAGCATAGTTTCAGTTACACAAAATATGGCTTTTCAAATGAAATTCTTCGAGCAAATCGCACATCAAATAAATTTAAATTCAAATTAATCATTTGAGCGTCCTATCCATTCTTTCATTAAATCATAGGGAAATAAATATCCTCATTGAACATTTGCAAACTTTATACCATAAAGATCATCTGTTAGATTTTGAAACAATGCACCCTTTTGAGATATTGAATCTTTGCGAACTATCAATTGTAACTTTGCGAAATGAATCATATTCGTAATTCATGTACCTCTTCTTGACGTAAAAACTTACAGAGTTTTTGAATTGTATCCGTTAATTATAAGGAATGAATTAATAAAGATCCCAAGCAATTTTACTTTGTAATTTGAAGAAGAAAGATTTTGCTCCAATTTAATCAAACTAAGTAACAATCCGCATTTATGTTTTTAATTACAGGCACATGTAAGCCATCTATGTTGGAAAATTGTCCTCATATTCACTTAAAATACTATTAATACTAATATTTCAATCGATATTAAAGACTGCAAGCAGATTGAATTATCATTGCCTTTACTTGAAAGTAATTTTAGCTTTTTAAATCCTTCTTATTACCAAAATCATTTGGAAATAATAGTTCATACTAAGTTGCAAAACCTTTCTTACGACTCTTACAGCTTTGGAACCACATTGTAACTGTAAATTAAATTTTCTTGGAGACCAACTTTTCGTAGGAGGGAGGAGTTATGGAATCCTGTTGGTAACATAACTATGTGGTACAAGCCCATTATTCCAACAAATTGAATTGTATGGCAAGCAAGCCCATTAAGAAATATTTGCTTTTTACTTCTTTTTTTTTGATACAGCTCTGTTATTTTTCCTATAAGAATTATATCGAGGCACAGACAGATTTTGTTCAATACTTGTAACCACTCTTCGTTCCTGCAATAAAGTCTGTTATTTTTTTTACTATAGGACGTGTGCATTCTTTATCTTATATGTGTATGCTAAGTGATAGTTGAACCGAATAGCATCTATTGTATTCAGAAGATACAACACTGGCCATTAAAAAACGGTGTACCGCGCATGGAAACTTTTTAATAGGATATCATAATGTACAACGTACTACAACCTCTGCCAATTCTACTGTAGCCCCTGTCATATGCTTTGTGTGGTACCCTTTATGGTGGGTTCATGCAAGACTCAACGTAACTTAAGAAAATGAGCATTTAATCAGCACAGGACACGATTGCCAATGCAGCAATCGCGACATCAATATTTTAAACACACTAATAAAATCATATGTTTAACGTCAAGGTAGCAGACAAAAGAGTGTTTTGTGCTACGAAAACTTAGGGACCAGCCTCGACATTGACAACTGGCCCCTCCCCACACGCTTGCGCCAATCCACCGGTAATCAGTCACAGAACCCGGATGCAGGTAATGTCGGAACATCTGCTCGGAAAAATATTCCGATTTTTGCAATATCTGATTCAAGAACGCTTGTTAAAGAATCTGCATGTGACTAGGCCCAAAATGGCTCCAAAAATTGTTCTTCAATCGATAACAAAAATTGATTGATTCGCTTTGTTCATAGTATTTTGCGGTTTTAAGGTCATTCTGAACAAAAAATGCGCCTTAGAACTTTTCTCTGGACTTGATATATACAATGTGTTTGGTCACTACATACCGATATTTAAGGGCGGTATTTTTCAGCTATTTTTATCGACAGATCCACCCCCCTACAATGTCCTACCTCACCACCCTTGAAATGGCAGCCATTTTTATCTTTACGTTACGATTACGCTAGTGCATGTAAAAAAATTGTAATAACTGAGTACATAAGTGTCACAGAATGATAAATTTGGTGTAATTTGAACGATAACGTGTTGCCTTGGCGATTATTAAATTGTATTCATACTAACTGTCAAACATACTTAAAAACAGTCAAAAACAGAAAAAAATATGCAAGAAAATTGATTATTTTGTGCATTTCCGCACACCATTCAAAAACTAGTTTGTAAAGTTGTACTTTTTTGTGCTAATTCTACAGCTAACTATGTTATCTACAGAATGACAGCAAATTTGTTATCCTAAGTCTTCTACGTTAAGTAATAGATGCAAAGCTGTAAAATACCCCCCTTAAATATCGATATGTCGTCACCAAACACATTGTATAAGCAATGGAAACATTCAAAATATGCCACTTGCTACCACAAAAACAATATTTGAAAAAATAATGCTCCCGATTGAATAGACTTTTTGATTTTTGTTCTTATAACTCCTATAACTTGACATTAAAGAATCTTTTTTCTTTCTCAATTCATCCACTGGGATTTCCTTCACTGAGCTTATCCGCATCCATGCATCATGAGTTTTAAATTTATTCCTATAGTCTTTTATCTTAGTGTCCCACAGTACCGGTTCAGCACGAAAATATTCCAAAAATGATAGTTCCAATTGGTTACTCCAGTTAAAACTCATTTTTCACGACGAATCGAAAATTCGTATCCGTAAAGAAAAACACAACCACTGCCGTCACTCACTATGAGGCAACTGAGCCACCAGCGAATGAGGAGCCTAGTCATGTTCCCAATATGTTCGCGCGTCGCGAACCCTTTGTCGCGGGACGAAAAACCGACAGCAAACGGGAACGACGCGCGAACGCGACGTGAAGCCGCGAAGAATACGCGAATGGGTTCCACACTCATGGGTCGCAGGTAGTTCGCGGCTTCGCGCGCGATCCGCGCGGGAGTCTGGAGAGGGTATAAGAAACGAGAAGTATAGCGCTAGTCAGGGCAAAACATCGTGGTCCATTGTGGTATTTCCATATATGTTCTAAGGATTTTTGGTGAATGTCTGTTTTTAGTGACGTTAAAGATTAATAGTGATAGTTTGCGACAATTATTATAAACATTTTTATGCTGGACAGCCTTCAAGAGCTGTTGTTTTATGTGATATTTGTTTAAAAATGGTTGAATCTTGCAGTGCGGTGAATTGTTGCAATAGACGCAGAATAGATGTGAAAATGAAGTTTCACAGGTTGGTTTTAATCATCTCATTCATTTTTGTGTGAAAATTACCTGTTAATTGGTAATTCGAGAAAATATCTGGATTTTTAGGATACCTACAGATCCTAACATGAGGAAGTTGTGGTTACATGCTATAAGAAGAAAAAACTTTACTCCCAGTACAACAACGGTAATTTGTGAAAAGCATTTCACTCCAGAGGATTATGAAGTTAGTGTTCATGGAAATAAGGTACTAAAAAAGGTGGCAGTTCCATCTGTGTTTGATTTTCCAGCCCATCTCACGAAAGAACATAGCCATCGAAGGGTTTTGAAAAGAAAACATGAATACATAATTTCTAGAATGAACTATGGTATAACCTATATTGTATTATAATGAAAAACTGTGTATCTACAGTATTGTTAATGCCATTGTGCACAAATATTTTGTATACATATATATATATATATATATATATATATAAGGGTTTTTTCTTTGTACACTTTAATCTCTACAAAACTGGACGTGTTCCCACCACATTTAGTGTTGACAGCTAAAATAATAAAAATAAATTTAAATGTGCATAAATACTATTTGGAACATTATAAAGATATATAGAAAATAACATGTATTTATTGTGATATTTCTTAGATCTCTTATTTTTATATGTAAGAAATAGCATATTAGAGCAGTTAAGTTAATTATAAGCAGACATGTAATCTCTTTGCTACCTGAATTATTAATTACTTATGTTAAATACTAATTGTTATATCTTCAAATGTGTAAAGGAGAATTTATTGTCAAGTTTCATACATATGTATATATAAATAAATAAACTTGGTTTTTTAATTATAATGACGTTTCCAGGATTTTATCTCGTTCCAGTTGCCTGAATAACTTTTAAATCTTCTCTAAAGACGGGTCCACACTATGTAACAAAATATGTTAATGGCAAAGTTGTACAACAAATTTGCTGTACAACTTTTTTGTGTAACTTGTTATAATATAGCATCCAGACTATATAACAAAAAATACAAAACAAAAAAGTGCGCATAATTTCCGCAGCATTTTAGCTGGTAGGTGGTAGTATGTAAAATGTCGTCAAACGTAGAGGATGCCATAATGGCAGCAGCAGCTTGCGTAATTTTGTGCAGGCGACACCGATGTGTAAAGCGAAGATTTTGGGTGCGGCCTTCATTAAAAGCTCGAGAAATATATAGTGGTACAGCTCTGTTAACTGATCTGAAAAGAGAAGACCTAGACCCATCGACAGGAGACATTAAATGTGATGGCAGTTTTAAAAACTTCTTAAGAATGACAAGTTCTGACTTTGACTATCTTATAAATGAAATCGGCCATAAAATAGGCAGGAAAGACACAACATTTCGAGATGCAATTCCAGTAAGAGAAAGATTAGCAGTTAAAATGAGATTCTTAGCAAGTGGAGATTCCTACCAAAGTTTAAGCTATTTATTTAAATTTTCTAAGCAGAGTATTTCGAATATTGTGCCAGAAGTTTGTGACTCTCTCATTGACTGTTTAAGAGATATAATCAAAGTAAGTATATTTTTTAAACTTTTTATTCATTTAGTTTCATAGAGAAAGTAACATTTGCGTAAAATTTAATTCATCCTCGGTATCTGCACATGTGCATGATTGAGTGTCGTGTCTGTTTGAATTGGTCTAGCTGGGGAAAGTTACGGGTGTAGGTGTAGTGGATGGAATGGAGGATGCCTCAGGTGTATTGTATGATTTAGTGCCTGTTTGATCTGATGTAGCTGGGGAAGCAGAGGGCGTCGGTGTAGCGAACGGAGTGGTAGATGTCCCAGGTTGTATGTCTGAACACTCTGCTTTATAGAGAATATTATTTATTTCAAATTTGGCGTAGATTTGCACCGATTTGCTCTTAAGGTTTCGCAAGGTGGTCGCTACATATTCACCATACACATCAAAGTCATCTCGCTTTTTCACGTTACTTGATAGTTCTTTCATTACCGTGTACGCTTCTTCAGATTTCGTGTTTTTTGCCATTCTCTTGTTGCCTTTAGTTATAGGTATACGTGCAATAGTTTCATTTACTGTTTTTTCTTGACGTTTTTTTGTATCATTTTGCACCTTTGCATGTGGCTGTGATCGCTATTCTTCCTATAAAATCAGAAAAAACCGAAAATAGTATTTTGATATATAACTTGTATATAACGATTAAAGGCCTGTTTCGAGAAGACGCGTCACAAACCAGTCAGAGTCAATGAATTAATCTAAAAATTGTCACATGTCAATTCTCTGACTGTTTCTGAGCTGTCTGATTGGCTCTGACTGGTTTGTGATTCTTCTAGAAACAGAACTTAAAACATGTATTGAAATGAATATAATAATATAACATAATTCCTCTTTCTTCAGGTACCCAAATATCAAGAGGAATGGTAACAGATTACAAATGATTTTGACCAGAAGTGGAATTACCCTCACTGTTGTTGCAGTATCGATGGAAAACACATATGCTTACAAGCTCCATTAAATACTGGAAGCGACTATTTCAATTACAAGGGACGCTAACTATTGCTTTACGTTTGTAAATATAGGTTGCCAAGGTCGTTTGTCTGATGGCGGAGAATTTGCTAATACAACATTTAAAAAGTTACTTGAAACCTCTTCCTTGAATCTCCCATCAATGAAAGTTTTACCGGGAAGAATATCAACTTCACCTTTTGTGTTTCTTGGTGATGAGGCATTTGCTTTACAGCCGCATATGATGACACCCTTCCCAGGCACTCAACAGAAAGAGTCACTGGCTCGGATTTACAATTACAGACACAGCAGAGCAAGACGTGTAGTCGAAAATACATTTGGAATTATGTCTGTTATATTCAGGGTGTTTAGAAAACCAATGCTTCTTGAGCCTCAAAAGGCAGAAAGGGTAGTTTTAGCAAGTTGTTATCTCCATAATTTTCTTCGAAAAGGTCAATCAACTTCATCCTACTGTCCACCAGGAACTTTTGATTCAGAGGACGCGCTGACGGGAGAATTAATACCTGGTACATGGAGAGCGAAGGTCAGCCAAATGGTACTTTGCTAAAACTTAAAAAGATTCCCAGGAAACCCACCATGCTAGGCAAAGAAATACGAGAGGAGTTTTCTTTGTACTTTACCAGTAAGGAGGGGAAAGTGCCGTGGCAGAATAATTTTTGATTTCAAATTGGTTATTAATTTAAAGTGTGCTTACCTCAACCGCAGTGATATTCCCAGTGTCCCGTGTCTCAGTATCTTGCTTGGGAGATAGACCACCTTCAGTAGAATGACGTGCCTCATTTTTGTCTTTTAAAAATAAAAGCATTTTAAAAAAAAGCCATTTTGTTTTAAAAGGGGCATCAGCTCCATCGCCACTCTTTCCTTTTCAGCATGCGCATTTTTTTTCAACTTCATTTGTATCTGTTTTCACTTCTGCGGCTATTTCAGTCCATTCGTCGTGTTTTTTATTTCTATTTTTAACCCTGTAAGACACCTTGTAGCCATATGTCTACAACGATCTTTTAGGTATCTTCTAACGTTTTCTATCCCTTGTACACTCTATTGCTCGATGTAGACATGTGGAAACAGCCTCAAGTTAGGCGCAGTTACCATCCGCCATCTATTAGCGAAATCGAGAAATAATTTTTTAATATGTCAACCGGCAGCTGTTCAGTTCGTTTCGCCGGCGTCGTTGCACTGGCGTGTTTGAGAGATAATTAGGTAGGTAAATTTTCATAAAATACATTAGTATGATATAATATTGGTTGTACATGTCCAAAACACATAATACATGGTAAGATTATCCAAAGTAGCATAGGAGAGTATAGAAAATGAAGTTTGAAAACGATTGTAGCCATATGTCAACATTGAACCTTCATGGTTGAGCCAATGTAAGATACTGTTTTATCCATTTTTGTTTCGTTGCAGCTTGAAAAATGGATCCTTTCGAAAATCTAAAAACCATTTCGGCGAGGTGTTTTTACAAAAAGAAGACAGACTTTATACCTGTATTGCCGGCTAATCTAGAAATATCCGATATTTCAGATAAAAGTGATTCCGATAATGAAAATTTGGAAGATGATGTGTTACGCCTCGGAAGTAATGATGCAGATGATGTAAATCCGTTGCCTTGCTCAAGTAGGTCTACAGTTGAAGTTATTCAGAATAACAGTAGCTCCTCGGATGAGTCAGATGACGAAGAAATAAAACCAATAGCTTCTAAAAGAAGGAAGAAGAGCAATCGAAGGATCCAAAAGGCTGATGTCGTATATAATTGGGTAGAGGAAGATTTACCTAATTTTGAAAAACCTACGTCAGATGTAAACTTTGGAGATGATAATTATCATTATCCATTACAGTACTTTTTAGAGTTTTTCTCATATGAATGCATTGAACTGATAGTGAAGGAATCAAATTTGTATTGTACTCAAATGACTGGGAAAAGTCTAGATACAGATAACAAAGAAGTTACTAATTTTATTGCTATCCTTATCTACATGGGCGTCATTTCTCTTCCTAGTTACAAAGATTATTGGTCGGCTACTCTAAGAATTGAATCTATAGCGAATGTTATGTCACTAAGGAGATTCAAACAATTACGCAGATATATACACTACAATGATAATTCTTTAGTTGGCAGTTCTCAAGATAGGTTTTATAAAATTAGACCGCTCTTGGACATAGTCAACAGAAACTGCTCTAAGTTTGAGATAGAAAATCGTTTCTCCATTGATGAGACAATGGTACCGTACAAAGGTACACGGGCAGGTAACCTTCGTCAATATATGAAAAACAAACCACACAAATGGGGTTACAAATTCTTCATGAGAGCTGGAGTATCGGGATTGATTTACTCTTTTATTCCATATCAAGGGAAAATACTTTTTCTTTATTAGATGGCACTGCCATGCAGTTAGCAGAAAATGAACTGGCTATGGGAGTTGGTAGTAGCGTAGTTATTGCTCTCACTAAAACCATCCAAAACCCAGCTCACAGCATTGTGTACTTTGACAATTATTTTTCGAGTGTGAACTTATTTTTATATCTAAAGCACAGATTCAACATTTATAGCTTAGGAACTCTTCGGAACAATAGACTAAATGGCTGCCAGCTGATATCTGATAAGGAATTGCTAAAAAAAGGCAGAGGAAAGTATGACTACAAGTCCACAAACAGGGAATGCATAATTGTCAAATGGGCTGACAATAAATGTGTTTTGATTGGAAGTACAATTCATGGTGTATCCCCTGAAAATACGCTTCGTCGATATTGCAAAGAAAAAAAAGGTAAAACGAATATACCTTGTCCATCCATTATTATGGAGTACAACAGGCATATGGGAGGTGTTGATAAGTCAAATTCGCTGGTCGGGCTTTACAGAACTCCTGGTCGTGCTAAGCGGTGGTACTTCCCGATTTTCGCCTATATCATCGACATGTGTATAGTCAACGCATGGTTACTATACAAAGAGAACAATAAAAATGAAAAGAAGTGTATGCCCCTAAAAGAATTTAGATGTGATATTGCAAAGGGCTTGTCCACCACTGGGAAACCGAAACCTGGAAGGCCGGTATCATCACCTAAGTCCAATTCAATAATAATACACCCAGTCGTTCCAAGACCTTCAGATGTTACCAGAAAGGATACTGTTGGTCATTGGCCAGTTCATACGACAAAGGGAAGATGCCGAATGTGCACTACGGGATTTTCTCGAATAATGTGCCGAAAATGTATGTGTCGGCTATGCCTAAATGATAAAAATAATTGTTTTGTTCATTTTCATCTGTGAGATAGATTCCTTTATGTTATAATTTTCACATTTGTCTCACCTTGTATATTTTTTATACGGAATATATTGTTTTTCGTTTTTGATGGAAATACTTTGATTTTTTTTGTAATAAAATATTATTGCAATTTTTAATGTGTTTTGTTACAATTATATTTTTAATCCGCTTATAGACCGTAACGGTCAATGTTGACATTTGGCAACAATTGCAAAGTACACTTTCTAATAACAATGACTTCAATATATGGATCTAAACTTGTTCCTACAGTGATTTTTTATAGCCAGTGAAAATTTACGAATTTTAACTTAAAAAATAATAGGAGTGAACCTTACAGGGTTAAAATCCATAAATGTAGGATCCCATAGTACTCGTTGCTCACGAAATAGTTCAATTAAATGAGTAGTCAATTCTTTCGACCATTCCATCGTGAACAGATCAAAGAAAAATGTAGCAAAACAAACAGGACGATGTGACACCGACGGTTCCCGTTCTTGTACACTTGTACTACTCCAAACCCTATTCACAGTGCCAGGGAATGTTTCAATAACCTGTTTTCAAGTGTAGACCAGTCACACTGCGATTTTACAACAAAGTTTTATAACTTTCTTTGATCTTTACCGACAACTGATGGATAACATAAAACATGCTATATAACCTGCAAAATGTTATACAACACTGTGTTTTATAACTTTTTAACTAAAATTCTGTAACAAGTTACAAAACTTTGTTATTTGACATGTTTTGTTACATAGTGTGGACCCGTCTTAAGAATCCTCGGTTTCCTATGCAATTCATTCAAGTCCGCGCGCTTTTTGCCCCGACTAGTTCCATCTCGCTGTCGGACCTCTTTGTCGTATGTCGGCCGCATTATCGTTTCATTCAAGTTTCATTGTACAAATGGGACGGGGCGATTCCATCAGTTAACCTCTGGCAACGTAAAATGTGGAGGACACTGCTGTAGAAACAGCTGATTCTTAGATTACGTTAAGTCGTGCATGAACCCGACATTAGTTTTGGGGTAGTGTGTGTGTAGAACAGCTGGTAATGACATCTTGTTATTATTACCAGTAACCATGTATAGTTGCAAACATGAATTACCTGTAATATAAGTCCCTGCCAAGAAGAAACCAGTCTGATGTTAATATTGCTGCAGAAGACATGGTTACACGTCACAAAAACAAAACAAATACGGAAAGGAAAACAATGCTTACTCAGCACCACAAAACCTCACTGAAGGAGGGCACAAAACATATACACTGAAGAAGGTTTAATTCAATGCTGTGCGATGGCAACACGTTGACTTGTATGGTTGTCAGCGTCCATTTTTTGAGGGTGAGACGTGGTTTCCAGATTGTGCATTAATATCCCGCAACGTTGCCAGCTCTACATATAAATCTGAGATTGCTATACTTATATATACAGGGTGTTTCAGTTTATTGATGCATAACTTCAAGATTCGATAGAACTTTTAAAATTAATGCATAAAGTCTATATAAACATGGGTCGAAAAATGCGTGGCTTCCGAAATACAGGGTGTTTAAATTTACTTTTTAAAAATTTCGAACAATATTTGATGTATAACAGTGAAAATTGGTATACAAGGGTTTTTTGGTACGACAAAACGAATGAATGAATGAATCTTAAAATTAGAGGCATCCCGGCCACCATAAGGAGCCAGTGCATAGGCCACTTAAGCGGGCCCTTATGCACCTCTACAATCCTTAAATCACAAGCCTCGCCCTTTTAGCGAAGTTGAGAATCGTCTTGAGTCCAAGCTTCTTGACATCCTGAGGGTCCAAAGTAATGGACCCCAGTATAGTCTGCCTATAGTAGCTCAGAGCTTCACAGCGACACGAAACGTGCGCCGAGGTCTCTTCCTCTACTCCGCAGCGTTCACACAAGGGATCCTCAGCCACCCCCATCACGTGCAGGTGACGCCTTAACGTGTTATGGCCAGACAACAGTCCCACCAGCATCCTTAGGTTGGCTCTATCCAGAGATAGGCAGAAGCGTCCATCCTTAGCACTGGGCCCTTCAATGAGTTCTCGTGCCTGGCGGAGATACTTCTCCATTTCTGAGAGTGTTGTCTTGCAACCCACGTCTCCATTTTCCTCCTAGCTTTATGTGCGGTCGCTCCTAGAGCTGGCTCAGGACCAACGAGCTTGCTGGCAGATCCTGTTTTCGCCAGAGTGTCCGCCGTCTCATTGCCTCTTATCCCAGCGTGCCCCGGTACCCATATTAACGATACCGGATGCCTCGCTGCGAGGCAATCCAGAGCCTCCCTGCATTGCAATACAGGACTCGAAGTAATCTTACAGACACTTAGTGCTTACATTGCAGCCTGGCTGTCGGATAAGATTGTTATTCTTCTCCTAGGCCCACCCTCCTTCAGATTTCCGCCTGGAAAATGGTGGTGTATCCACCGAGAGGCAGAGATAGCCTAGTTCTAGGCCCAGAGACCCAGTACCTAAGGCCTCTTCGGTGACCGAGCCGTCCGTGTACCAAACCCGCCCGCTCACTTCGGAGAGTCCCCGGCTACCGGCGTCCCACTCCTCCCTCGTTGGATACTCCACAATAAACTTGCGGTTGAAGCGGTATTTAGGGGTAATACGATCACCACTGCTTAGAAGGACGGGGTCCTCCCTTTCTAATTCGACTAAGATGCCAGTATGCCCCTTGTCAGGATTCAAGAAAGCCCAGCTGCCCTGACTCCACAGTCGATGAGCGACTACTCTCGCTTCACCGCGGATCCAACAGAGCTTCCATTGCACTCAACGGCGTTGTTCGCACTGCGTTTGTAATACTAATACAGGCCAAACGCTGAATTTTATTCAGTTTGGCCTTAGTTGTCTCAGTTCTAATGCAAGGCCACCAGACCAGGGAGCCGTACAAGAGAGATGGACGTACTATCGTCGTGTAGAGCCAGTATACCACTTTGGGTTTAAGCCCCCACCTTACCCCGACAACACATCTACAAGCCCACATCGAATTGCGAGCCTTGTTAATCTCGTATTCCACATGCGCTCTCCAGTTCAGTTTGCAATCCAGGATAATTCCCAGATATTTCACTGACTGGGACAAAACTAATCTAGTCACAAAGAAGGTCGGCATAACCAGCCCGTCAAGCCATCTTCTCCTAGTGAATAGGATCAGCTCGGTCTTTTCAGCATTAACAGAAAGATCGACTTCCCTACATCACGATTCCACGGAGCGCAGAGCGCCCTGCATAATTTCCGAGACTGTTCTACAAAAACGCGCCCCAACTACTATGCTTACGTCATCAGCATAGGCTTGCGCGTAGACACCCATACTGCTGAGCCTAACGAGGAGTTCGTTCACCACGATACACCACAGTAGGGGTGACAGAACTCCGCCCTGAGGGCAGCCTCTAGCTACACTCACGCTGCAGCTTACGTCATTCAGCATAGCTGTTGTTACCCGACCCTCCAGAGTAGATAAGACTCAATCTATTAGGATTGATCCAACCCCGTGTCTAACCAAGGCATGTCTGATAGAGTCGGTTGTGGTGCAATTAAATGCACCTTCAATGTCCAAGAAGGCCACGAGTGCCACTTCTCGCTGATATAGAGTCTTCTCCAGCCTACCGACCAGATTGTGTAAGGCCAGATCAGTCGATTTTCCAGCTTGGTATGCAAACTGTTTTGCATGAATGACACACCTTTCCAGCGGGTCATCCCTTAAGTATCTATCAACTATCCTTTCCAGTGTCTTAAGGACAAAAGATGAAAGAGTAATCGGTCGAAAATCCTACGGGCCAGTATATCTAGCTCTGCCCGGTTTAGGAATGAATACCGCTTTAGCCTGCCGCCAGCTTCTAGGTGTGAAGCCCGTGGCCTCACATGCTCGAAACACATTCAACAGGTAAGGAACAACCGAAATCCGTCCCTGCTGTAACATGGCCGGAAATACGCCGTCCAGACCTGGACTTTTGTATGGAGCAAACGAATCTACTGCGCATACCGTCCTTTCGAAGGTGACAATCTCCCTAGCCGTGCGCCAGTCCTCACCTGAGGGCCTGCGCAACTGCATGCACTCTGTGATTGATCGCGCTACTGTGGAATCGGGAAAGTGCGTATCCATCAGAAGCCTCAGAGTACCTTCCTCAGAAGTAGTATTCCCCCCAGAGGGATCATGCAGAGATCCCAATCTTGCTTTAATGTCTTTGCATAGGACCCTGTGTATTCTTGCAGTAGCAGGAATGTCGTTTATGGACTGACAGAAGTGCCTCCAGGATTCTCTGGAGTCCTTTCTAATCTCCTTTTTGTACTCCTGCAATGCCTTTTTGTAGTCTTCCCATAGAGGAGAACTTCTCCTATGCTTAACTCTGCTAAGAAGTTTTCTATCCTCTAAATCTTTGGTCCAGAAGGTTGCCTTGTCCTTACCTTGGACTTTGCGTAACGGGCAGTTTTCCTCATATGCAGCCGTCAAGTCCCTGCTCAGAGACTCGACAGCTGCTTCTATGTCAGAGCCACTGCAAAGCCTGTATGGGACCGCTCCAAGCTTACTGTCGATGTCTGCCCTAAAGGACCCCCATCTAGTATGCCTGGGATTCCGAGCATATTTATCCGGAATCTCTCCTTCAGTCTTAAACAGTATGTACCTGTGATCCGATAGAGAGGGTGTTAGAGACACTTTCCAGTCCCTGATGTCCTGAGCTAAGTTAAGCGTGCTCAGTGTTACGTCGATAACCTCTTCTCTTACACTGTTGCTGAAAGTGGGCATGTTACCGACATTCAGAACCTCAAGGTTCGATGCCCCAAGAAACCCCATCAGGTCTTCGCCCCGTCTGTTGGTGTTCGAGCTGCCCCACGTAACGTGATGGGCATTGCTGTCGCATCCAATCACGAGGTCGAGTCCAGAATCCCTACAGAATGCGACAAGGTCCCCCATTTCCTTGGACGGAGGAGGCTCTCTTGAATCGTAAGGAAGGTAAGCCGGACATACAACCAAGTCCCTGTCACTGCCTTCCTTCTTATCTAATTCTGACTGCAACTGAGTCTCTGAATGTAAATTATTATTAAAAACAGACAAAAACAAAAAAATATGGAAGAAAATTGATTATTTTGTGCATTTCCGCACACCATTCAAAAACTAGTCTGTGAAGTTGTACTTTTTTGTACTAATTCTACAGCTTTGTGTTATCCTAAGTATTCTACGTTGAGCAATAAATGCTATCTAACATGGGTCAAAATGGGTGTAATAAAATGCAAATTGTTTTAAAACTTTTTATACATAAAAATGACAAGTTAATGTTTCTTATAGAGAGTTTGGACATGTTTAATGTTACAGAAGCTGTTCAGAATGTCCTCCATTATTGATTATGCACATGAATGAATGAATCTTGAAATTAGAGGCATTCCGGCCACCATAAGGAGCCAGTGCCTAGGCCGCTTAAGCGGGCCCTTATGCAGCTCTGCAATCCTTAAATCACAAGCCTCGCCCTTTTAGCGAAGTTGAGAATCGCCTTGAGTCCAAGCTCCTTGACGTCCTGAGGGTCCAAAGTAATGGACCCCAGTATAGTCTGCCTATAGTAGCTCAGAGCTTCACAGCGACACAAAACGTGCGCCGAGGTCTCTTCCTCTACTCCGCAGCGTTCACACAAGGGATCCTCAGCCACCCCCATCACGTGCAGGTGACTCCTTAACGTGTTATGGCCAGACACCAGTCCCACCAGCAACCTTAGGTTGGCTCTATCCAGAGATAGGTAGAAGCGTCCATCCTTAGCACTGGGCCCTTCAATGAGTTCTCGTGCCTGGCGGAGATGTCTGGAGATACTTCCCCATTTCTGAGAGTGTTGTCTTGCAACCCACGTCTCCATTTTCCTCGTAGCTTTATGCGCGGTCACTCCTAGAGCTAGCTCAGGACCAACGAGCTTGCTGGCTGATCCTGTTTTCGCCAGAGTGTCCGCTGTCTCATTGCTCCTTATCTCAGCGTGCCCCGGTACCCATATTAATGATACCGGATGCCTCGCTGCGAGGCAATCCAGAACCTCCCTGCATTGCAATACAAGACTCGAAGTAATCTTACAGGCACTTAGTGCTTTCATTGCAGCCTGGCTGTCGGATAAGATTGTTATTCTTCTCCTAGTCCCACCCTCCTCCAGAATGTGAGATACACAAGCCAGAATCGCAAAGATTTCCGCCTGGAAAATGGTGTTGTTTCGACCGAGAGGCAGAGATAGCCTAGTTCGAGGCCCAGAGACCCCAGCACCTGAGCCCCTCTTCGGTGACCGAGCCGTCCGTGTACCAGACCTGCCCGCTCACTCCGTAGAGTCCCCGGCTACCGGCGTCCCACTCC